TTTAGTTTTTTTAGTTTTTTTAGTTTTTCTCAATTAAAAAAAACTAAAAAAACTAAAAAAACTAAATGGCTGGACGTTTAGTTTTTTTAGTTTTTTTAGTTTTTTTGAATAAAAAGAAACTAAAAAAACTAAAAAAAACTAAAAAAACTAAAAAAACTAAATGTCCAGGAGTCTAGCCCTGTAGTTTTACAAAGAAAACTAAAAAAACTAAATGGCTGGACGTTTAGTTTCTGTGCGAACTGACACGCGCAACGAAATAAATGCGGAACGTCTCTCTAACATATACATATACATATATATATATATATGGTTTTTGAATAGAGCTCTATAGGTTTGTGCATGTTTTGACAAATACCACGCAGTCGCAGTTCTTGAAATTGGTGTGGTATCAAGAACACGTACCCGTGGTGGACATCCAAACAGAAAGAATTGATTGGTCTACACACACAGCTTGCTAATGATTGCTGAAATCTTCCAACCTGGAATTCTTTTAATCGGCCAAGCTGCCAGTTTGTAGGCTCTGAGGTTATCACCTTGGCCCAGTTGGCTCACGAATTCAAGACTGCTGAGTGCTGTTGCGCTAAGCACTTGACGTGCGCAATGCATCCATAGGCTTCAACAACAGCACGGAGAGTAAGTTCATCTCCCCAAGTTCCATGTAGTGCCATATTTTTGCAATAGTGTCCAAACTCTGCCTGGCAAGTGAGAAGCACTTGCAGGCAAAAAAATTGATTTGAAACCCTAGATTCCCTCTAGGGTTACTTCAAAATGAAAGCTCCAGAGCCTCGTCCTCAAAGAAAACACCAAAGAAGTCTGCATGTTTCCTGGCATCTCTCACTGCTCCTCGTATTACTGCTATTGCCAAACAATTTTACATCAGGGTCACGGGCCTCATATGAGCTACAGCTGATTGGCGCACAGCTGCATGATGTTCCTGACATGACTGATGACTGCGAGCGACATTCGGCCTCTTCATATGGCGGTACCTGGCTCCTAAAGAGGTTGAAAGCCATAGTTCTGAACCTCGGCCATTCAGTTCAAAGTTTCAACCATGTCTGCGAGCTCTATCACGGCCACACAGGACTTCTGGACAGCCATGGTGCTGGCAATTCCCATCACCAGCCATTTCAACCATCTGCCTCGGTCGATCTTCTCAACAATCTGACAAACGTGCTCAAATTGCAGGACAATCGAGTAAAGGATGCAAAAAACACGTGTACTCCACGGTGTCAGAGGTTCATAATGTCTTTAAGACATGCACATGCCAAAAGTCTGCAGGCGCTTCTCCAAGCTAGCTCCTTGAAGGCCTGTTCCAGGTTTAACCTTTATTGACATCTGCAACAATCCTTTGGTATTCAGCCATCACTGCCACGTGAAAAAAGGAGATATCTGGCCTTGCGATGACTCTGCTGCTTTGACATCGTGGATCATCTTGTTTCGCTTCATTGTTCCCATTCGAGACAAACGCAAAGACGTCGATAGTCGCTGAAAGCTGGTGCGAACATCAGGCGGCTCTTCCAAGGCGTGCCGAGTGGTTTTCCTTGGTCGAATCAACTTGGTCTGTTGAACCTCATTTCATCTCATTTCTAATAAAAAACTCAAAATTGGAAACTACGCTGAGACCAAAGCATACTCGTCAAGACGAAAAGATACGAAATGATATCCCCGTTTGCAGTCAGCACCCTGTGGGGCAGTTCAACTCTAGCTTTGGAAAGGTCTCCGAGACATGCCCGACAAGCGGTTCACGTTGTTGGAAGCGGTGACTGCCTTGAACAATGCTTGACAAAGTGCACACAACATACACACACGAGAACCAACCAAGCAAATACTAGTTGATTAAGAAGTGGACCTCTGCTCGTTGGGTTTTGACTGCCTGACAGCAGCTCCAGCAATGTCTTCCCGCCCCTGTAAATTGCCACGAACAAAGTAATCAATCTAGATTTAAACATGACACTTGGCCTAAATACCATCCGCAAGTTTCAGCAAAATGTATCACAACTTTGATGCGGTCCTCTAAATCCACATCCCGGCTAGGCACCAGAACCACATGTCCACCATCGGCTTCCTGCAATCAATCTGGCCAAAAATCAAAAAAACATGTCCATGTTGATTCTCAGCGCCTCAAATCTATTCGCCAGGTCAGTTGAGGCGAAGGAATCACCTCCTGACACAAAACAAATCACAGGTCAGTTGAGGATACATTCGTTCGCGAAGAATGTTTCCTTGCACCTATCAACCATTAGATATGTTCGGATGTTCAGAAAGAATCCTGTCACAAAATGAAAAATGTCTCTTTCAAGAACCATGGCCCATCACCTTGAAAGGAACAGCGTATAGTATACAACCTGTCAATGCATGCTCTAATTTTTATGTTTGTAAGGAAACAAAGGGGGTTTGCTGGTGGGTCATGCCACGGCCAGCCTCGCAAAGGCACTGGTTCTGGAACGTCTTGTGAAGTAGAGCATTGGCCCATAACTTTGTTTGTACCGGATTGGCTCGGATCTCTGTCTGAGAAAACTGAAAAACGTTTATTTAATGTGTCCAACAGTCTTTGGTGGGTTTGTTTCAGCCCCCCCTATTCAGACCAAAAGCCGAATGTGAAGGGTACTGTTCGCATCTGGCATGCCAAGTTAGCATCACCCAGTGCTTCTGGTACTAAAAAGCATTGAACCTAGAGATGAGGGCGGCATCAAAAAAGTTGGAAAGGGTTATGGGCAATAAACCAGCAAAACATAGCAGGTCGATGCGTTTTGCAAAAAACGTTTGACGTTTCGGACTATGTGAAAAACCTGCAGAAACAATCAGGCCTCTCAACAACATCATGAACTTGGCACATGTCAAAACCGACATTCAAAAGGAATGAAGAACAAGAAAAACAGGAAACAAACGACCACAACAGGGAAGAACTGGAACAGAAGTTGGTTTAGAAAAACTGGCGAAAAGGATGAACACGCAAAAATTTGTTCCAGCATGCGGTCTTCGTAGTGGATCATCCCATGATGGGTGAAGAACGTCGTCATTGAGAGTTCGACAGCTCTGGGCATGAAGCACGTCGGGCGGTGCTGGCATCGAAGCACATGTTGCGCAGTGGCTTACAGGATGGTCATTCAGCGCTTGTCGCTCGAGCACCGGGCAGTTTGGACAGTGATGCCAAACACGGCCTCTGGACATAAACACGTCATCTCTCAGGGAGTATGTCTGAGAGTGTTCTACCATTTTTCGCCAGCATCTCTGGAAGAGTCCCTTGGCATCCACCTCACAGTGGTGCGACTCAGCAGCAATGCGGCGATATTCCTTTTGAAGATTTCTAAGGTAGGATATGAACCACACTTCCGCTGCGCAGTTATTATTGAGTTGAGCTGTCAGGAAAGCGGCCTTGCTCCGGCAAGCTCATTAGCATGCGTTGTTCGGTGAAGGTTCCAACCTCATCTTAAAGTGCCTTTTGGTGCCGCAGCCACAAGGACTATGACTATGATCAACCCAAGGTCCATTCAAGCCTGTTTGAGCCAGAAGCACCATCAGCAACGGTCGGGTCTGGCCACGGTTCCGGCTTCTGGCCCAATGGAGGGCAGACTCGGGAACGTGAGCGCAAAACCTCAACAATATCTTTTCAAAACCTTCACAACATGCATCAAACAGCAACATCAAATGCAACGAAACAACCCTGCCGAACGACCAGAGACAGTACGCACGCCGCATTTTGTATTTTTCCAGTTCCAAGGAGCAGTCTTTGGTGCCGGACTGACCAGCTCCGCTATGGCTTTACAGTTCCCATAGCGGGTGTCCACTGCAAGCATTGCAGCCAACAAGCCTGCACCAAGCGTGCAAAGCCGCAATCAGACTGCTGAACGCAGCAGCTTTCCATAAGGACCAAGAACGCAAATCAGTTCCAACGCCAAGTCATCAGAAACAACATTCCACCTGAGAACCAGGCACTTAGTGACACACTCTGCGCACCGTGCCACTGGGGAGTGCGACACATGTGTAAAACGCGGCGTGTCACTGGTGAGATAGTGTGCCCACAAGAGTGTCCCACAAGAGTGTCCCGTATGAGTGTCCCACAAGAGTGTTCCACAAGAGTGTCCCGAACAGTGTCCCACAAGAGTGTCTCAAGAGTGTCCCTACAAGACCGAGTGCCCTGAAAGAGTGTCCCACAAGAGTGTTCTTTCAGAGTGTTCCACAAGAGTTTCCCCAAGAGTGACCCACAAGTGTCCCACAAGAGTGTCCCACAAGAGTGTCCTACAAGTGTCCCACAAGAGTTTCCTACAACCCACAAAAGTGTCCCACAAGGATTTCCTGTAAGAGTGACCCACAAGAGTGTCCCTTAAGGGTGTTCCACAAGAAGCCGACGAGATTGTCCTGTATGAGTGTTCCACAAGAGTGTCCCCACAAGAATGTTCCACAAGAGTGTTCCACAAGAGTGTCCTGTGACCAGACAAATAGTGTCTTATGAGAGAATGTCCCACAAGTGACCTAGAGTGTCCCACAAAAGTTTCCTACAAGCCTGAAAAACCTACTACCTTAAGCAAGTAGATTACAAACGTCCTAAACACAAAACGAAAGCACGCGCAACAGCTCACAAGCAACGCAAAAGCACTCGCACCATTTTTACGCGCACCCCTTGAGCTCTGGTTTGCTCAAGCTCTGAGCCAAAGTAAAGTACACAAGGCTATGAGGTATTCCTGCGTACAAGCTATTCCCACGTGAGACACTGAAAGTGTCGAGCTTAAACGCATTCAAATATGCACAAACTGTTCAAGAAACATTCACACTACAAAAGCTACAAAGACTTCTGTTCACAACCTTTCAAAACACTTCGAAACACAAAGTTCCGTCAAGGAACGCTTGCTCAAACACTGAAAACGTAAAAACCTCACAGCTAAAGCTACACAAAGCGCTTAAACATGAGCGCTGCTGTTCTCAAAGCAGTTGTTCTTCACACAGCTGCTTGTAAACTGCACTGCGACCTGCGATGACATCACAACCTCCGAACCATTCGCGGCTACAAACCTTGCGTTTGCTCCTACCACCTCCAGCTGACGTGTGCGATACTGGGACTGGTAATTTGCATAGCACTGACACGGACGCTCCTAAATCAAGCAACCACCAATGGCCTTCTGCCATCGCCGCGCTGCTGATCAACAACGGGTCACTCATCAAAAGCGGCATCAATACCGCGACGTTAGCGGTCTCTTCAGCCTCATCATACCAAGCATCCTCTGCCCGCCCCAGTTGTCGTCCCACCACTCTTCCACCAATGTTGTTTCCTCGACACCTCATGCATCTTGCCTTTCTTACCTCCACCCTTGCCTTTTCCTGACTTCCTGGATTGCCTCCACTCTGCCTTTCCGGACTTCCCGCTGCTACCTTCCCGCTTCCTTCATCCTTGCCTTTCCCTGACTTCCTCTTGCCTTTCTGTGACCCTTTCGTGGGTGACAGTGATCCATCCTCCTTCTTGCGCTCTGGACAGTTTGCGCTCAAATGACCTTTCTGGCCACATCGGAAGCACCTTCTCACCACCTTCGCCTTCCTCGTACCAACCTTCCAACGCGTACATCTCACGCAGCTTCGCAGTCGTGGGACCATTCAACTCTTGAAATATTCTTTGCTGCGACTCGAACCTCAACGCCAACGTCCTCTGCTCAGCATACGATTCCCCTGTTGAGTGCAACACGACATATGACTGGCATTCCCTTGGAAGACTCCGCAAGAGCATCAAACTCAAGTCACTGGCGGCGATCTCAAGGCCTTCACGGGACACTCCTGGCGGCAACGTCTCGACAACACGACGATAACGACTCAGCTCAACGTCCATAGTTTATTACCGAAGAGATGGCGGTTCCGAAGCTGTTCCCTGTTGGTGTAAGTGTACGCTTCACCAGTTCTGCACGGAAGTAGGACGCTTAAAACCACCCGTTCCTCTCCCAGACATACACATATGCTCCTGGCCACTTCTAGTCACATTCCACTTGGTCCTGCTGAGTGGTCAAAGACTCCAAAAGGAAGATCCCCACTCCAACGCCAAGGACAGGAAAACGAAAAGCTCCACTGTCCAGAGGAACTAGGTGATCCACACCAGGCGCGCCCACACTTTTTACATGGGATGTGGATGGCTCAGGCTCAGGATTTGGCCAACATTGGATGGGCATTCTGCACTAAGTCGAATGCATGCGAGGCCTGCATGTTGATCACTTTGAGCGCACACGAAAGGTCAAGATTTAAAAGTAGCAGTTTTCTGCCCTGTGGCCAATGCAGTTGACTCCCCATGGAAGAGACCCCTGCTGACGAGACAGGTGAAGCTGAGCCAAGCGTCTTCGAAAGAATGCGCCAACCCCACCGCCAAGGTTCAATTAGTCGACCACGAGCTGATGGTCTTCGCGATGACAAGAAGCGAGATGTTTTTAGCAAGTCAGACAAGTGGCTTCCGGCTGTGCCACAACCGGATTTGGAAAAGA